TTCGCAGGACTGGCCCCAAGGTAAAAAAGGTTGCCTACCCCTGCTCTAAATTAAGGTCATATGGCATCAAGGTACCAAGTCAGTAGATCCAGGTTTCCTCTTTTCTTAAGCATAGTTGGCTGCGTCCATCAGAATAAAATTGTTTAGCAACAGATTATTCCAGCTTTTATTCATGACTTATGGTTCATAAATTCTGTATGCATATAGGTGAGACAGACAGACAGAGGTGTATAAATGTTTTGTTTCCATATATACAGTATAATGTGTTCCCATGCTAATATCCCAGAGGACAGGATGAAAATTCAAAATGACCTGAATAGATTAGAAAGCTGGGCCAAAGCTAACAACATGAATGTCAACACAGAGAAACGTAAGGTATTGCACTTAGGGCAGAAAAATGAAATGCATAGATTTTGGATGGGGGACACTTGGCTTAACGAAAGGGATCTAGGGGTCCTAGTAGGCCACAAGTTGAACATGAGTCAACAGTGTGATGCAGCAGCTAAAAAGGCCAATGAGGTTTTAGGTTGCATCAATAGAAGTATAGTGTCTAGATCAAGGGAAGTAATAGTGCCACTGTATTCTGCTCTGGTCAGGCCACACTTGGAATATTGTGTCCAGTTTTGGGCACCATAATTCAAAAAAGATGTTGAGAAACTGGAGTGTGTCCAAAGGAGAGCAATTAACATGGTGAAGGGTGAAAGAAACCATGCCCTATGAGGAGAGACTTAGGGAATTGGATATGTTAAGCCTGGAGAGGAGGCAGTTAAGAGGTGATATGATAGCCCTGTTTAAATATTTCAAGGGGTGTCATATTGAGGAGGGAGCAGGTTTGTTTTCTGCTGCTCCAGAGAACAGGACCTGGAACAATGAATGCAAGCTACAGGAGGCACTTTCTGATGTAAGGGCTGTTCAACAATGGAACACTCTCCCTCGGAGTGTGGTGGAATCTCCTTCTTTGGAAGTCTTTAAAAAGAGTCTGAATGGCCATCTGTTGAGGATGCTTTGATTGAGAGTTGCTGCATGGCAGGGGGTTGGACTGGATGGGCCTTGTGGTCTCTTCCAACTCTATGATTCTATGCATAAAGATTCAAAGCTGGCCTTTCCAGGTGCAAATTCAGGGCATGTCTCATTGGGATCATATTGGGTCCACATCTCTACTTTCTGTAGGTAGGTTTGTGTGACTATTTAATTTCAGTTCCTTTTTGATAGGAATCTACAATATTTTGCAATTTTCTATATTGTGCATGGAAAGACCTTGAGATTTTTTTTTAAAAAAGAGATGGCATGTGGAAAAAACTGAAGTAAATAGATTTGCCTGTCCAGGCCCAGGACTTTGAGTGTTTAACATAACCATCATTTTCAATCCCTGTGTATTCAAGCATTTTCCATCTGATTTCTGAGAAATTTCACATTTCTAACACCTATATATCACACATCTATGGACGGTATCACACGGGGGCAAATCTGCT